CCCCAAAACCCCAAAACCCCATATTACAAATTGAAACTCAATTTTGTGAATGATAATTGTAATCATAAAATATTAATTTATTTAAATTATCTAATCAATTAATCGAATTGATAATTGTTGATAAAGCCCCTCATTGTGTAATTCCTGTTTCAAGTTTAAGGGTTTTAGGCATTTCATAATCCCATCCTATATATCTATATATTCTACACATATAGGATTCATCACATTTTTTATCTCTTTTAAGTTTCTCTTCATATTTCCTCATCATTTCCTCATACATCTCTTTTAGTCTCTTCTCATTATCCTAATATCTTTTGTGAGTAACTTTATACTTTTAAAGGGAATTTTTGACAGTATGGTGATCGTTCAGAATATTTGTTGCTTTTCTGTTTGAGACATCTTCCCAGAAATTTTGGAAATTCTGATTAAACTTCAAGTCCTGCATAAAATCGTCTGGCTCATAGTATGAATCAATGTAATATACAGTTGGCCTAGGATTTTCAAATCCTACTACCTTCAATAATTTTTGTAGAATTCTGATCACGAAGCTATGATCGACATTTTCTTTGGATCTTTCATTTCTCTGATTTTCATTGAAACTCCATTTGGACACAACAAATATTGTATTATTGAGAAAATCTTTGAAAGCACTTCTGTAGAAGTTCAATCTATATTCATTGAGTGGATTCTTAGAGATCAAATTCTACAATTCAATCACGTAAATGAAAGTAGTCTGAACAGGATTTTATTTCAAAAGATAGATGAGTTTGGAAGCATTTTCAAAATCTTTTTAATTCTTATTTTCATGGCCTTAGCTGTCTATAATCTATATTAAGGGTCCATTAACTTCTCCAAATAGAGTACCATTGAGCTTTAATGCAGCTTAGAGTTGGCTATGCTAACTTTTACTTACATCAAATAGTTCGAATCCAAGTAAAAGATTACCAAATGAACTCTTTCCACTTTTCTCAGAACCTAGTAAAACAAATGAGTACTCTTTGGGTTACAAAGCTAGATTTGGAGTTATAGACTCCTTTGTTTGTTATTTTTATGTTTAAATCATGCCTCTTATGCCATCAGTGAGCATTATTAAAAAAATCACTATCAGGACATACGTTAAAGAAATTGAGAAATACTATCTCAAACCAGCCAACAAATTATATTTATTAGATGCTTTTTATCTCTATTTTTCCTAATAATCAGATCTATCTTAACTCTAGGGTTGCTCCTTCTCAATTTCTTACTAGCTTGAAAATTAATTGTCGTAATCTGAAAGATAAGATCTATGATTCTTTTTTAGGTTTTTTTCAGACATCTAGCTAGGGAATCTTTTCCTGAATTGCATTAGTAAGGTTACTTTCAAATTAAATTTTAATATTGATAGCGTAGAATTAAGAAATTACATTAAATATTTAAACTATTTTGTATCTAGCCAATTAAATAACTCAAAGGGGTTTTGGGGTTTTGGGGTTTTGGGG